TCCACGTGGAATTTATATTCATTCTAGATAAAAAAAAGAATTACTCTTTGCTTCTGTTCGTTCTTTTGACATTTGTCCTGTACCAACGATTAGTTTGTTCAAAATGATCTCAATTATTCTGAAAGCCGGATCCAGGTTAAAAGAATTTTTCGAGTGTGTACATAAAGAACGTTTATTCGCGAAAATTGCTAAATTTGCTTTGCGGATTTATTCTTTTTTTGGAACGTATGCGAAGGAAATTCATCGGTGGAGGCCTCTAGAAATTTATTCCGCAGTTGGATAGTGTTTTTTCGAATGTGTACAAAAGAATAAAAGTGCCGTTTTTCGAACTCGTTCAACCTTTCTTTTCAGGCAATATCAACCTAAAATGTATAACTGAATTTACAAATGTTCTCGTTCTACATCGAAAAAGACGATTTATATATATATATTTTTTTTTAAAATACAATTACGTTTCTAAAATTTCCGGAATCACAAAAACAAATTAATCATCTTGAAAAAAAAAAAAAAACACTTTCGAAGCCTTGGAAATTATATTAACCAATTCTCGGTTAATTAATTCTCCGACTTTCAGTTTCAGTACAGTACAGAACTTTATTTCAACGAATACCCTCGTTCAGTTAAATAAATATTTCGAACCTCTCACCGACGATAAACGCATCAAAATCTCCGATGAATATGTAACTACCTTGCCACGTAATCTTCCAAACGCATCGAGGATCGCGTCGGAACAATAAGTTCGTTCAAGCAATCCTCTAATCGAGCTTTAATCAATCGGCAGCGAAACACGAGCATTATCAATACGCGGTTGGATCGTTGGAAAAAGGTGTCCGGACGGTGCACGTCGAAACACCGCGAACAAATCTGCAAAGCCTCCCTCCTCCTCCTCCTCCTCCTCCTCCTCCTCCTCCTCCGCCTCGCCAGCTTGCAACGGTCATTAAGCTGATGCTAATGAAAAAGATCTCGTAACTATCAACTGGACGCAAACTACACGCTCCGTTCCCTCTAATATAGACTCCCAACGGTAGAAAACAAAGGAACAAAGTATTGTAATTACTCTGTTCCCCGCCTTCACCCCGCGAAAACTCACACTCGCGCGAAACGGTTCTTCCATCGCTGTACAACCATCGGTGGCCTACGTTGAAACGTTCGCAGCTCCTCTCTCTCTCTCTCTCTCCCCCTCCCTCTTTCTCTCTCTTTGCTTTCGAAAACCCTTCGCCAGCCCCGCCGCGTCGCTCACACCCGGCTTTTGCGGTCTGCATGGCAGATTTATATTTGCATTTAAAATCTGCACGCTGCGGCACATCTGTCAAACGGTGCATATTGAAATCTTCGCGCGTGATGGTGGTGGTTACACACCGACAGGGCGTAGGTGTTGCCAATCTGCTGGGATCTCGCTGTCACTCCACCCGCGTGCACCGAGTCACTACCACTTTTCGCTCGTTGTTTCTCCAAAATTTCACTCCCGGCGTAATAGTCTACTCCGGTCTATGGACCGGTTGGTTGACCACGCCTGTGTAGTCTCCTGCTGAGCGCAATACTCGCCCCTTTCTCCTCTACCGCGTCGAACGTCCGCCATTATGACAGTGATTTTTAGATCGTGCGAAGTTTGATACCGGCAAGGAGAAAGAAGGGAGTTTGACTCTTTGGTTGTTTAATTGAACGAAGTCGTTGTTTATTTTATGACACTGTAATAAGGAAATATTTTCAATATATTGAGAATACGTAACATACAATAGTTTAAGAGCACGTACAACTTTCCTAATTGTATCGGTTCATTTTTTATAATTGATACTTTGACCATTTTCAGTTGCTTCATCGTCAGTAAAGATTATAGTTATTAACTAACGAAATACGCGAAAGTAAAAATGAGCTGTACAGGAGAAAAAGTTTAATTCCAAAGTTGCGCGAGTTTAAGTAGAATGAACCTCAGACTGAGAGAGCATAACACAGTGAGGATGAATGAATTATACTACAAATAAAGTGTCATTTCGTCTCCATCTTTTTCCGCAATTCGAAAACACCAATGACAAATAAATTACCTCTGTGTAATAAATAATTCGAAATGTCGTTTTTCCCAATGATTTATCCAATCGAGCCAAATAAACGTCTACCAAATCACGTACGCCACAAACACGTGCTCCCCTACAAATAATTGCACAAATCCAGAAGGCATATATAACGGATATAACACTGTCACGATTGTCCGAGCGATCCCAAGAATTAATCACTCGCCATTTCAATCAACACTTCACTAAAACCGTACCGTATTACCACGGGATATCGGTCAGTCACACTCGGTCCAACACGAGGACACAACCGGCCCACCGGTGAAGTGATTAAACCGGATGGGAACCGGGAATTTTTCGCGTCCCACCTAAATCAAACGTCTGGGCTTTCAACGTCAATAGACAACCCATAAAAACTCGCTAATTGAACGACGCTCGTTTCTCCTCCTATCTTTCGTTCTCGAAAAAACAAACTAAAAAAAAAAAAAACAGAAAAAAAGGAAGGGAAAAGAGCGAGAAACAAAAAAAAGAGAGAGAGAGAGAGATGAAAAAATAAACAATATACCGCGGTGCAATCCTCTAAACTCGTTCGCCGGAAAACTGTCCGAACCGCGCGTTGGCCGTTTTTATCGATCACCGAGATCCCACGTACCATAATTTCGGTCAGCAAGAAAGAATTGATTTCACGTGCATTCGTTCGTGCACACCTCCAGGGCGCCGCCTGCAAAAACAGCGCGCGAATCGTCGCCAGGAAATTTACCGTGGCTGTTTTATGGGCGCTATTTGCTCCGCTGAACGCGGGAGAATACGCGTGCAACGAAGAGGGATGTCGAGTGTTATAACTGAGCTGGCGGATTTCTACACGTTTAAGGGAAATTTAAGCCCGCCATTGCTCCTTGTTGCCTCAACAACGTCATTAGAATTTTTCGTGAATCTTGAACGATATCGTTGGACATTGGAATTTCACGGTTAAATTAATTAATTTCAAGATGTTTCATTGAATTTCGCAACACTGATGATTCTAATGAGTATGAAATTAGATGCATCGAATTTGTGTGACATTACATACATGATAAAAGTGAAAAATGGCCAGAAAATTGCAGACTAGTTTAGATGATAATATGTACATGATTAGTACCGAATTCTCGACATACAATGCAAGAAATATATTAATAGGAACACGAAACTGCACAAAAAAGTGCAATTCCACAGGCTAATAATAAATTTCACTATTTAAGACAAAATAAATTTTCTCTAGTCTATGCAAATCTCTTGCTTCTCTACTTCTAGAATATTTCGATGAAAGTAAAAATTCCCCGCAAAAATATTATACAATTTCCTCAGAACGTAAACGAAACATTATATTTGAAAATATATGTATCGGGCGATCATAATAATTTAGCTTCTACCAGCAAATACGAAATACAAAATTATTCTCAATTTTAGTAATCTAACATAAATTGCTACAGTCATCCATGTATTCCAACGATGTCATTTAAGGGTTGACCTGCACAAAGAATTTTGCGTTGACGAATACGAAACTGTCAACCGCAATCGACCGTAACTTTTTCGTCGGCACAAGAGTTGAAAAAGAGCAATAGAGAGGAAGGTCTAGGTGAATACAAGGGATCGGTTTGCTGGCCACCCTATAATCTACGTATATACATATGCGAGCGAGGGTTGGAAAACTGGGCAAACGACACGATTGCTATCCAGGGATGAAAGTTCTCGCGTCAACCTCGAGGGCCGAAGTTGCTAAGCTGTCCCGGCGATTCGTTTGCGTGGCCGAGCTGCAGCATTTTTCACCGCTATTAAAAGAGTTCCTCCGTCGAGCTTTCATTTGCTTTCTGTTAATTTACTTGCCCGAGCCGAGGCTAAACGATGATCAACGTGCCAGTAAATTTGCGTTTATGTTCCTCTCGACTGCGGGTGAGGTCGTAATTTGTTTGTTTCGATGATTTGTAGTTCATTTCTAATTTGCTCTTTTTTCTCGTTTCTTTTGATTTAAGCCTGCTCGAAGGTTCATACTGGCATTTGTATTGCAAATTGGTTTCGCGGCGTGAATTGTATTTTGTATTTGGAAGAAATTGAACGTTTAGAGGGCCGGTAATAATGACTTTTCCAAAAAAATCATAATGCGCATCGTTAAAGATTTATTCAGAGTTCCAAAACGCTCTTCTGAATAATACTTTTGTTGCTGTCGACACATATGTTGTTCTAATTATTGCAAATTACAAAACGTTTAGCCTTGAAATCATTTCAGATAAAAGAAACGTACAATTTTTCTATCCAGTTGTTCAATTAAACGAAATTATTGACGTTATTGCAGCGATAAACATAGTGATGCCAGAATAATTCACATTTCAATACATATCTTATTAAAAATTATTGTGATTAAAATTGAATTGTATTAATTAAATTACATTTAGTATTTAAAATTAAATTATATCAATTTACATCACCGTGTCATCAAATTTGAATTCGTTTACGAGAACTATCAATTTATTTCATATTTATTAATTAACCCCTGAGACTTGTCACTCACATAACATCACAGCATCATACACGACGTACGATTAATAGCGTTCATACTACACCTATCATCGATTTGCACAATTACCTAGAAAAAAATTAATGTACAGTACGAACAGCCACAGTTAAGTGTACAAACAAATGTTTCTAAATACGACCTCACTGAATATCAAGAATCACTTATACAATAGGTATATACTTCTGTAAAAATGAAATATACATTTATACAAACATCTTGTATAAATTCCTATATAAATATATTTTAATACAAGTCATATTCATGACAGTCAAGTTCCATTATGCTGTTAATGAACGGGTTTACACAACGCACGTAATAGATTCATTATCAAAATAATCGTTCGAATACTTTCGCGAGCGACTTTCTCATGCAAATGCTGGTAACTAAGCTACTTGTTACCTTGCTGTCAATCAAAATTCATATTGGGCGCAGTTACTCACCTAGTGATGAGTTGATGAACTCTCGGCCACTGACCCCGCGACCTCAATATCCTGACCGTTCCCAGAAGCGACGATCTGTGCGACGGTGAGACCTCCATGGCTTTGAGGTAGTACTTGAGGGAGGGTAGCCATTTGCCTGAAGAGACGAACGACGATTTGGCGTGAGTACGAAGCCCGGCGAGTAGCCGTTCTACGCGGCCGGTTGTTCCCCCATGTTGTTTCCCCTACTTTAAACTACTTTAACCCGTACTTTGGACCGTCGCAACGGGAACCGTCGGGCTTTGTCCCACTTCACGCTATTTAGACCTGTTTTACTTACCATTCTGGTACAGCCACGAAGCATATTCCGCGAGATGGTCGGCACTTTTCGGTTGTAACCGGACCACGTGTCGTAGGAGAACGCCAGCAGTTGGACCGGTTGCCAATCTCGCCAGCACCAAATAGGCTGGCGTGTACGCCGGGTCCAATGACACGCATTTCTGCAGCATTCGTATACATTCTTCCGTTCGGTTCGTTTTCCTGGCGAAACGGGAACAACACGCATATGTTAGTTTGTTTTATACCGTATGACAGAAGAATTCAGATATTAAATTCAGATAAAATTTTAAGAGCCAAAATATTATAAACTATCGAATGTTATAGGATTAGAGCATTTAATTGTTTCTTTCGACAGCTTTTGTATTGTTAAGGAGATGTTTTCCACATTTCAGGATATATTTATTTTGCAAGGGAACATTTATTTCCGATATTTTCTTTGAGAGTGTTCAATTACTCTATCAATAAAGATTATACACTCAGTTGCTAATTTACCAAGTATGTAGGAAAAGATAGACGTACTAGTTACGCGACATTAAGTAGAATAAGCCTCGAACCGGTACGGTGTCAGGCAGGTGGGAATTGCTTGGTCGTAAATTCAATTAATTGTATTATATTCTCGTTTTTTTAGATATTGCGATAATCTTTGGATTTGTATACAAATCCGGAAAGATGATTTCACATTCAGTTACTAGCAAAATTTGAAAAAAAACTTTGAAAACACTGTACATTTGTGGAAAGATTCTGACAAAAAGAGATTCAATTAATGAGGGACTGTTTAGGAAATTTTGTTCTCATACATAATACGTTAATCATGCAAAACACTGTGATTTGTATAGTCCTTGCATACCAAGTAAAGATTTATTGGCAATTAAATTTCGATGCGTTTCAACCACGTTAACTATGACAACCTATTCCAATCATGTATGACGATCACTCTCGCGAAGTGTAACATGATTACAATCAAGATATGAATGCCTGTACACTTGCTTTTAACGCACTGCGCGCATCCGTGTACAGTGTACATCATTGTGCATTCTGCATGCTTCATCGTTCCGTGAAATGCCACTGTCCATGTCGCTAATTTCGCCTGCACTGGTTAATACAATTTTCCCTGAATAACCGGCGAAACCTAGCGAAATGATATGAACTGCTCAAAATTTTAGCCTAACGGGCTACTAGCGTTCGCACTAAATTTCGAAAGTTAACACTTTAATCGTCTGTGAATTTTAATTCTTTCGTAGTTGGTAAAGATGTAGCGAGCGATCGAAATATTTCATCATTATACTGATCGTGCAACTTTGTACCATTACACGTGTAATAAAAGAATGAAACGTAGGCTAAATATTATAGTACGAATTAAAAATTACAAAACGTTGATATTATATTTTTAAACAAAAATATTTGTTTTTTCCTCGTTGAGTATTATGACTATTTTGCAGATGAGAAATTTGAAGATGCAAAAATGTATAGAACAATATTCAAAAATATGTAAAGTATTCAAAATATGCTATAATACATAGTATCAAGTGGTATATACATATGTAGTAATATATAGCACATTACAATATTTGGCAGATAAAACAATTTTCTATCCAACTTTTACTTTTCGAACTATATTCATAAAACTACGAATTTGCACAAATTTTGGTAGAGTTTAATCACAATTGAATATGTTCTGGATACATTACATATATTTCTGTATACCTGTCACGTACGATGTGTATCAGAATGTAGATTTAGCACACTGAAACAAGAAAAAACATTCCAAGCTTCCTAGACATCTTGTCATTGAGATTCTGACTTGTTTAAAGTGATCTGTTTGAATTTGTTGGCAATCGTCAACGACAGTTAAACGAAGAACTCAGTTGATCCGAACTGAAGAATTATTAAACTACAGCAATTCGATCTCAGAAACAAGGTCATATCGGGCACATCTTCATAAGAATTTTTTCTCTTTTTATTTCAATTTGATTCAAATCTAAACACGTATGCTCTCATACACAGCCCTGTTTATCGTATATAATCCAGCTACCAGGTGAAAGTGGTTATCAGCGATTTGCAAACGAGGCCGTGCCGTCGGATCTTCGGATTCCACGATCCGTAACACGCTTTATAAGCCAGGTAATCCGCGGCGCACGGTGTCCGGGGATTTCACGGCGGGAAATACTTTCGCGGAGGAGAGGAGAGAGCCGAAAAATTTATGGACAGTGTTTTCCCCGCGAGCCGAAACAAGACGAAAATAGAGTGGAGCGGCGCGGCAGCCAGCCCGAGTGAAACGAAACGAGCAATGGCGCGGCGGTGTGCATGCACGCACGCCTCTCTCGCTCCCGACGTCAATTAAACTTTAATTTATCAAGCAGGAGGCGTTAATTAAAGTTTAATTTTAACCACGCCGCTAGAATTACCTTGCCACGCTAAATTTATCGCGCAGCGTGCACTTTCGGTATACCATTGCCTCGATATTAACATTAATAAAGCAGAAACCCTGTTGGATTCGGGAGATTCTTCCTGTAACTTTGTTTATTCTCCCGCGCGATGGGAGACTCCATTAGACTCTCCGGCATTCGACGGAATGAGAATTATCCTTGATTTCGACTTTCGTTGTTCCCTACTGCGTTCCCTACTTCGTCTGTTCGTTGTTCTTTTCCTTCTTTTTTTTTTTTTTTAAGCAAACAGATGAGTTCGAATTTCACAAGCTGCAAGAGTGTATCGTTCAATCTGTGCGTTGCAAATGTGTGTTTCAACAAATTTTGAAGATCTTGTGTCAGACTCGAGAAAGTGATTCTGTCTATGATTTTTGTGACAAGGCAATTGCACAATTGGTCTTTAGTAGTTTTGTGTTTACTATTTGCTTTCTTTTGTATTTGAAATTGAGTGTAGCGAGTCGATTAAATAAAATGAATTAAAATTGAGTATTTTATTAAATCAGTGAATTGAATACGAATCGATTGAAACAAGTAGTCGTTGTATTCCGCTTAATTTGTTTAATTTAGAGAATTTTTTGTTATATAATATATGCAATGAAAATAATATTCTTAATTGATGCAGTATATGGTATACTTTTCGGATTATTTGTATTTTCCTATTATTAACGAATCTGTGCGATGATCATCCTATCTGAAGATGTAGAATTGTCACTTATCAGCTTATTAATATTATTAATTAATAAAAAGAATTCATAAAATATTGACTATATTTTGATTTACATAGGTTGAAATAGAAAATCTCAACCTATATAAATCAACAAAATATAGTCAATGTTTCATAGAAAATCATTCTATTGCCAGTTAAACGAGATAAAATTACAGAAATTCAAGGGATTCAAGATTGATTAATTCGAAAACAGAGAACTAACCGCTGACTACAGAATCGAAACTGATCGACTGCGTCTCCTAAAAATATACGATCAACGTCTGTATCCTCAGAAATCCAGAACAATTAATCTCGATAGAACCAATTAATTTAGATCCCACGTATTGCCAGCTTCGCCCGGCATTTCTTTCGCGGTGAATGAAATCGGTTGTCCACTGACCTGTAGAGTTGACCAAGATTGTAATGAGCGTTCACGTGACCCGGCTGAGCGTGTATTGCAGCCAAAAAATGCTGCTCCGCTTGATCGCCGACCGTGAGCGTTCCGAGGTTGTTATGCGCACTGGCGTACGTCGGCCACAGCCTGTAATCAAATAAACGCCGCTTATTTACAAAGTGATTAATGATCCGGAGGAACACGGTGCGTTGCCATGCATTTAATCGCCAAGGTAATTCCGTTTTCCCTCCACGAGCATACGTGCTCATGTAATAATCGCCCGATAGGGCTGTGATCGAAAGGACGGAATAATTTCCCGTCCTTTCCGTCGATCACTCCCGAAAATTGCCGAAATTTTCACAAGCCACGATTGCAACTGCTGTTGCAAACTCGAGTCAATTCCCTCGCTTTCGCGATACCGTGGATTTTCACGCGGTTCTCGTTAGTTTCTCGTTCGCGAGTGTAAACGTTCGTAGAGACAGCGTTGAAAAATCGCACGTCGCGGCTCTGACCGATCATTCTGTCTGTCGACTTGGGCGACTGAACCGTTCTCGCTGAGTCTCGTGCTTCGCACAGCGTTTTTCGCCGAGACACGCCAACGACCAATCAGGTCACACTTTTCGATCGTGGGAGTGGAAACTTACTATTCGTTAGAAGCTTACAGCGTGCAATTATTTCAACATCAATTACCACGATGGATCGCGAATTTTTATGCAAATTTACATTTTCGAGAGTACTGCCACTGAAAAATGGGACCTCGGAAGAGGAAATGTTTCACGTGAGAAGTGTCGTGGAAGAATGTACATATTTTACGTAGATTTTTTAACACACTGAAAAGTGCAAAAAAAAAAAAAAATTCGCAGTTTATTAACTAACATTAGGGAAAAAGTAATTTGTGTTTGACTTTGCGAATCAATTTCATGGACAAGAGTTCGAGGATTCGCGCACACTTTTGTGCGAACAATAGACGAGCTCGCGGCAACCTCGAAAAGGTGAATTAGGTGATTCTTTCGCACCGAGCTATTCACCCTTTCCCCACCGGGGAGGAAATTACGTTTCGCAGAAATTTCCGAAGGTTTCCTTCGTTACCGAATGCCCCATATAGCCAACTGGAACAGTAGAAACAGATAATACCTGCTAATTATCGTTTAGTTAGAGGAAAGAATGGATGGTTGGCGCAGGAAATTAAATGCCACGCGTTGGCTGGTTTTTCGATCACCAGGTTGGATTCCTTACGCTTAATAGCTCGAATTGTTGATGGACCCCTTCTAATGAAAATTTTCTCGCCATTGTTCGTGCGAACCGTTGCGAATCTTCGTGAAAGAAGTAATTTGGACTTTATATTATGGATTTAATGTCGCAAAACATTTGTTCTCGTAGCTTTTAATTCCTAGCAGTTTTATTTAATATTTGAAATAAAATCTAAAATAAATCTACAATAAATCTGAATAAATCAAAAATACAAAGCGAGATAAATTCCAATTGTCGAACGTTTATCCATCGAGCAACGAAGCTCTTCGTACTTTCTCATCCGCGAGTGCAATCAATTCGAACACGTTGTACACTTCGTCGAACGCAGCGCTTGATTTTCAGAAAACATTTAACCACGCCGCTTTAAGAGCACAATCCCGCTCTTTGGTTAATTCCGGTGCTCGCGCCGACGCGTCGCCGCAAATCTAATTTTCGAGGTAACGTAGTTAGCGAGAATGCATTACCATGGGAACGCGTTTTGACAAAACTTCCCTAACTTTTGACAAGAAATATATATATATTCTCTAGCAGTGATTTCTTCGTTACGACGCAATTCGGGCCAATATCGCTAAAGATATATTATACAACTGTGTGGGCGAAGGAGAGCTCGTGACGAGCGACGTTTCCTCACAGAGCCTCAAATTTTTCAGCGGAAGCCAGCTCGCGAAACTGAATTAAACTTTCTTCCATCGAAATAAAGAATATTTCCGGCGACTAAACAATCGTCGTTCCTGGCTCCGACGTCCACCGTTTCGCAATTACAACGAAACGAAGCTCGTGCATTTCCATCTTGGATCGCTAATACAAACTTTAATTCGTTCAGAAAATTAACTGTTGCTTCTTGAACTCATTAAGGGGGCTACCGTGAACGCAGTATTTCATTTGCAATTATTTTTAACGAGTTCGTTCTATTGAATTGAGTTTCTTCTCTCGTTTTTCTTTAACAACGGAGCTGAGAAAGGAAATTGCAATGACTCGCTCGATATTCTTTCATCTAGTTATGTCTTATTTCACTTAGGCTCTACGATTTTACGCAAGATTTACACAAAGAATCCAAGTATTTGTGACGTTACGATGTATTGTCATATAATGTACGTTCATTATGTTATAATTATTTTACATTGCATTTATTTTACTTATTATATCATTATTGAAAATTTAATGGAATTTCTTAGTAATTACTTTGCCATTTCGTATAGTTTCATAGAATTTTTTACGAATGCCTCTTAATACAATCTTTCAGCTGGCACAAAGATATTCGATGGAACATCAGAACGCCAAGAAGTCGGATATTAACGAGGTAGAAATTATATTCAGCCTCCGCTATTAAAAGTGCATACAAAAATGGAGCTCTGTTTCCTCGGACGACAGCCCCGACGAATTACATTATTTCAAGGTAAATGCATTAAATAAAGTGCCTCGTTACATAACGAAACGAAATAATTATAGCCGCGTCGCAGTTGCCTACCGTTGAGGAACAGTTAATTCCTGAACGAATTAAATTTCTCCGATACAAGATGAAAATGTTAAATAACGAGAGACGAAAGTTCTTCGCAACGGCCAGCTCAGTCCAGCTGGAATATTCTTTATTTCGGCAAGAGAAAATTCAGTTCAACGAGTTGGCTAACGCTAACGCGGAACTGAATCGAATTTTTCAGTCTTTCTCTTTCCTTTTTCGTTGAAATGTAATATTATTCTTCAATAAATTCGTCCAGCAAACCTTTCGAAGCTTGTAAAAATAGAGAGCGAGAATTTTACACTCGCTAGATTAACACTTCGACGACCGGCTGTTTAATTCGAAGGGTATTAAACTGGCAATAATTTACGAGTTTTGCGAATATGTCGCTTCAGTTTTAATTCGGGTGATGTTGCAAAAATTGCAACGCCGGTTATTTGAGTAACAAGTGATCAAGATTTTGTTAAATATTAAAATTTATAAACATGCCATTTTTCTACGTTTAAAATTTTCTCAACAAAAAAAAAAAAAAAAAAAAGAAATGCACGTCATGAATCACGTTGCAGCTGAAGCTCGATTAGATCATTTACACAGAAGAATTCTTCTTTTTCACAGAATGTTTTTCTTGCTTGAGCAATGGATAATCTAAGCACAAACCCCTGTAACGAAGTGTTGCGTTAAAACGATGCCAGGACTACGATACATAATTACAAAGCGAAGAAACTCGCAAACAGAAAGAGAGAGAGAGAGAGAGGCAAAGGGTAACCAGTCCGAAATGAGACCCGTTTAAATCACCGACCGCCTCCCAAGATTCAAATGATTTTCCCGCAGGCTGGAAGCCGGCATGAAACTTCTGCCGCGTCTGGTGTACGTCTAAATTGCTTCGAAGCATGAAACTCCGTGCTTAATAAAATGTCACTCGCACCCTTTCGGCGCTGCAACCCCGTGTTCACCGTGGCACGCAGTCAGCTACAGCGTTGGAGCTACACCCTTCACACAGTGAAAGTAAAATCTGCGTATCCCAGACTTCCCCTCTCTATGTGCGCTTATAGACTTTCGGCTGCGTTAACACCATTGTAATTTACGGTGTAAATTGCTTTTACTTCGCCGATCGTGTAGCGATGATTTGTTGAATTTCGAGAGAGAAAGAAAATGGAAAGGTGTTTGGTAAAATGAAGGGAATGTTAGAAATTTCGATTCCGCTGTTCGCCTTTGGTTCTATGCGAGTCAAAATATATGTTAAAGTATACATAGTTTCTAAATATTTGGTCTTAATTTAATTTTATGACATTTTATATGTTGCACGATTTTCACGAAATAAAATGTTGCAAAGAGAAAAAGAACTTCGTACTTTCGAGATATTTGACAATTTGAAAGATGGAAGCTTGATAGAAAATTTATGTGTTTTATGTATCAGATTTTATACAAAGAATGTTCCATGTATTATTTTGTGTTACACGCAGTTTCAAATTTTCTATAAGTGTACAAACATTCGCAGTTTAGTGACAAAGAAGATAATACCTAATTCTCGGAAAATAAAATATTACAGAAAGAGAAAAGTTTAAGAAGAAAAGAGTAATATTGAGAATATTGGTTTTGGTTTGTAATTTGTGTGCAATTCTACATTTTGTTTTTAATGATAATATTTATAGAATGTTGGGTAGGATGTATAGAATAAATGACAAGTAATTTTGTACAGACTTCATCAATTGCTGGCAAGATACAAGTGTGAAAAGTTTCTTAATTTCTGTATGAAATTATTTTCGAAAACAAATACGAAGCGGAGCAAACAAGAGGGGACACGAGAAAGTTTTATTGGAACGTGTTCAACAAAGATCTAACTGGGTTGTTAAGGGTAGAAACAGAAGAGACCAAAATCTGATATCCCACTCGTTATAACGGAGGTATAACTTTCGTGTAGTCCTCTCGTTTTTGTTCGTACAAGTACAATGGCAGCTTATACCTTTAGAAAAATTTTTCGATATTTCCAAATCCATTTTCCTATAACTTCGGTTTAGCAACCATGAAACTTACTCCCAATAAAACACGTTAAATAAATATTATTTTTATTCCATTTTCTTTTTATTTAGAATCGACCACAATAGTATCGTCATTTATAATTTTTAAGGATTATCTTCGTACATTTCACTCTCTTGCTTTCTTGGGATCTTCTGATTTGTAACATCGAACCATATACACACATAAGTAACATTGATTTATGAATTTATTTGTTCAAAAAAAAATACGTTGCACTGATAATAAAATCTAGAATTTCATTTTAAATCTTCAGATTGAAAATCGATAAATATAAATAATATAGGTATGAAAGAACACGACGAAAATTAGCACAAGTTCGTGTTAATGAGATATCGATTTGTTTATCTCGATAACGTGGTTCAGTGGAATTAGTTGTCATGGAACGAGTAATATTTTTATGTAT